GTATAGGAGGCTTTAGTTTCTATTGCTTATTAATTAGCAATTAAAAATAATGGGTATTAATAATTGGACATTATATAAAATTCTAGTAAAATAAACATCTGAACAACTGCGAGTATTCCATATTCAGGTCAATTTTTCTGTCTCCTGGAAAGTGATCATTTAAACCCATGACAGAGGAAATCTATAATTCAGCACCCACAGAGGTATGCAATCTTAAAAGGTAAAAAGGTTTCGACACTCCTTCAAAAGCTGGGAGCCATACCATAGAGCAAGTATTGCATACAGATTTCATGTGACTTGCAGGGGATAGAACTACACTCACGTTTGTCTGCAAACAGCCACAATACCAAAGTCAAAAAGAGACCCTGGAGTACATTTTGGTAATGATTAATATGCTAGATTTATAGTCATTTTGCTCCTTGTTACCACAGTTCACAAGTCAACTTAAATCTATCTTCAGTTTTTTTCTGGCAACTGCTACAAGCTGCAGCTTCTGAGTTTAGTATTCTGAAAGCCATCACATGTTTTAATTTCAAGCTTACTAATTGTACTCGTCATCATTGAAGAAATAATGGAGAGAAAAAAGGATAACGCTGACCTGTAAATACAAAGCATTAAAAATAGTTCTTGCAAAATCAAAGCCTTTTAAAAAGTATTTTTGTATTACAAGCTTGAGGAAGAGTACTTGTCATTCTGAATTGAGGATCGACTTCAGAGACTAGGTCTTCTTGCCTATTTAAAGTCACAAGTCACATAAATCTCCCGCTGCAGTTACAACAGCTAAGCACCAGAACAGCTCCGGTACTGCAGAAAGGAGATGTGCGGGTTCATCACAGGAATATGGTTTGCGCTCTCAGGGAATGCAACTTTGCCCCAGAAATCAATGGTGGGAACATTCCTAATGAAGCCACAAAGAAACAGCTTTGCTGCGATGGTCTACATAGAACAAAACCGTGGATTAGGAGGTCTGAAATGTTTTTATATCAATGGCATTCTTAAGCCAAGGTTGCACTACAGACTTCTGCTGGCATAGCTATGTTGGTCAAGG